GGCTGATTTTTTGATTTATTGTAGAGATGAGGTCTCGCTGCCCAGGCGGGTCTCGAACCCGTGGGTTCAGGCAATCCACTCACCTCAGCCTCCCAAAGGCGCGGGATTATAGGCTGAGCCACCGAGCCCGGCTTTTGTATATAATTTTTAACCTTTAAAATGGCAGAGGTTTCAATTGTCTTTTTTTAAAAAGACAAAAATTATACACATTCACTCAAGGTATGTTGATATTATTGTTGTTTTGAGCCAGGCTGGAGTGCAGTGGCACGATAATGAGGCTGTGGTGACAGCCTTGACCTCCTGGGCATAGATGATCCTTCCACCTCAGCTTCCCAGGTAGCTGGGACTACAGGCATGCAATATCATGCCTGGCTAATTTTTTGATTTTGTGTAGAGATGAGGTCTCACTGTTTTTCCTAGGCTGTTCTTGAACTCCTGGGCTCAAGCGATCCTTCCACCTTGTCCTCCCAAAGTGCTGGGATTACAGGTGTGAGCCACCACGCCTGGCCAGCATGTTGTTTTTATAAAGAATACGAGAAAAGGAAAGTTGTAGACAACTTTCCAAAGCCCCAAGGAGCCCGGGACAGACTTATTGTTTGAGCCTTGTATGCAGAGGCCCAGGTCCAGGGCCCCAAGGCCGTACTTCTGTTGTTTCCTTCACAGTCTGCCTGACCAACAAAGGCCACCCCTGGGTTTCTCTCGTGGTGCAAAAGACTCGACAGCAGATTTCCCAGGACCCCTCCCTGAACTACGAGTACTTGCCCACAATGGGCATGAACTCGTTCATCCAGGCCTCCCTGGAACTCCTCTTTGGAAAGCATAGTCAAGTCATCATGGAGAACAGGGTGAGAAGACAGACCCTCCCCTGACTCACCCCCACAGAGAGCGGGATCCAGCTCTGTACAACCTTAAACCCAAAAGGGTCCTTGCAGGAGCCACTGGCATTGACAAAGGAGACCTGAGACTCAGAGAGTCCACAGCTCTAGCCATTGAAGGGCAGAACCAGGAGCAGAAGCCCAATTCAGTGTTATTCAGACTCACATTGTGTGGATTTGAAAGATCTTTCAAGAAAGCAATGATCTGAATCATTTGGTGTTAGCAAAGTGTTATTTCTGTTTCTTGCTGACAGGCAGGGGGTGTGCACACTGTGGGTGACAGTGGTGCCTTCCAGCTTGGGGTCCAGTTTCTCAGAACTTGGCATAGGGATGCTAATATAGTGTACATCATCTCTTCTCAAAAAGGTGAGTCTTAAACAAGATGGGGACAGCAGGTCCCTGTTCCTAATCCCTATCCCATTTGCCATCTTCTCTGTTGCCCTCATTCTCTGTCATGGGAAAAATGGCAGACAAGCCAAGCGACACATGTCTTTTTCCTGTTAATGGCCCATCTCCAGCCAGTGACTCTCAGCCCCACTCTCCAGTATCTCTGTCTCTATCTCTCCATTTCCCATGTGCCAGCTGGTATTGGGCTGTGTTCCCACAGAGCCACATGGACTCATCTTCCAGGACATGGGCTTTACAGTTTATGAATACTCCATCTGGAACCCCAAGAATCTGTGCTTGGACCCCAACATGTTCCTCAGTATGGTGGAGGTAGAGAAATTTCTCCTCAGGCCTGACCTGCAGTCTGAGGTTCCTTTCCTCCCCTCCACCCCTTGAGTCATCCGGGGCCTTTTCCAGTTTTGGATTTGCCCAACCCTTTAGTGGGAACCAACATGGAGGAGCACCCCTCTCCTATATGTCCTGGTGTCACTACCACTTGGGAGGATGGCACCTGATGAGACCGTTTCTACCCTCAGCAGATCCCAAGTGGCAGTGTCCTTGTGATTGGGAACATTATTGACTGCAAGTTAACAAAGAGTCAGTGGGCAAAGTTGATGTCCATCATGAAGGTGAGTCCAGCCTCCTGTCTGACCTTCCTGCCTCTAGCCATTGGCTCTCTCCTCCAGCCATCTCCTTGTTTGTTCTCCTTTCTCCTACAGAGCAAGCGTGTATTTCCGTTTTTTGACATTCCCTGTCAAGGTTTTTACACTGGCAACTTGGAAGAAGATACTAGGATCTTACAATACTTTGTGTCTCAAGGTTTTGAGTTCTTCTGCAGCCAGTCTCTATCCAAGATTTTTGGCATTTATGGTATGGTGTGGGAAGACAGAGAGGGGTGGGCCTGTTGCTGAAGTGCTGCACTCATGGCACAATGTTTTTGATGTCTCTTACCCTCTGGAGGGAGCTGAGGACTCCAGAGAGAGCATGATGAAGGCAGAAGGGAAGAGCACTGAACTGGAAATTGGGTTCTGTTACTAAAACTAGCTACCCAAACCTACTTGGGTTAAATCTTTTTACCCTCACCTCACAGGCTTCTGTTTCCTCCACTATAAGATGAGAGGGTAAGGCCAGGCACAGTGGCTCATGTCTATAATCCCAGTGATTTAGTGGAAGGATCGCTTGAGGTCAGGGGTTCGAGACCAGTCTGGGCAACATAGTGAGACTCATCTTTACACATTAACTGGGTATGATAGTATACCCATAGTCACAGCTACTTGGGAGACTGGGGTGGGAAGATTGCTTGAGCCCAGGAGTTTGAGGCTGCAGTGAGCTAATGAGGATGCTACTCCACTTACTTAACAGAGTAAGACTCTGTCTCTAAAAGCTAAAAGCAAGAAAAAGAGAGAGAGAAGGATTTAGTAACTTTTCAGGTTTCTTTCTTTGAAAATTCTTTTTTTTTTTTTTTGAGACTCACTCTGTCACCCAGGTTGGAGTGCAGTGGCACACACTCATGGCCACCCCAGCCCTTCTGGGCTCTGGCGATCCTTCCACCTCAGCCTTCCAAGTAGCTGGAACTACAGGTGCACGCTACCACACTCGGCTAATTTTTTGATTTATTGTAGAGACAAGATCTCGCCAGTTTCCCAGGCTGGTTTTGAACCTGTGGGCCCAGGCAATCTACTTGCCTCGGCCTCCCAAAGTGCTGGGATTACAGACTGAGCCAGCAAGTCCAGCCTAAAAACTCTTTCTTAAAAGACTCTGACTTATGGGTACTTTTGTTGGAAGGACAAGAGCCTCTGGTAACTTTTGGGGGTCTGCATACCACCCTGGCTGGGCTGAGATGAGGACCTCATAGTTCAGCTCTCTCTTTTGCATGGTTGGAGGTTGAGGTCTAAGTGAAGGCCCTGGGAATGGAGGCAGAGATAGAGGCTGAAGTGTCTCCTCAATGCTGTAGATGAAGGTGTGGGGATCCTGGTCGTGGTGGCAGTCAGCAACCAGCAGCTGCTGTGTGTCCTCTCCCAGCTGATAAGATTCACCCAGGCCCTGTGGCTGAACGCCCCCAGCACAGGGGAACGCATCATCACCTCCATCCTCTGCAACCCTGCTCTGCGGAGACAGTGGTAAGGGTGAGGCTGGGGCAGGAAGTACTGGACAGAGCCTCTGAGTCCTGCAGGCTTGCTGATTCATAGGACTCAGCAGGTGCTTCTCTCCCTGCCTGTGTGGCCTCTTTACTGCATTCATTCATTCCTTCATTCATCATTTGCCCATTCTGTACCAAGGCGGTAGCTATGCCAAGGGTTGCCCTACTCTGGGGGAGTGATAGGACATTTGTTTTGGACGCAGGCCGTTGGGTTACTTGAACTCTTCTAGATTGCAAGAGGAGATCCAAAAGCATCAGGGGATTGCTACTCTGGCAAAATCTTCTTGAAGCCTGCTTGACTTGCTTGAATGAATACAGGATCAAACCTCCCTCCCATTCATAACCGTCCCAGCCTATAGGGGACTTTGAGGGTAAGAAGAGTGGAATGGCAATGAAGTAGGAGACCTCATACCCTCACTTTCTGTTGTCCTTCCTTGGTAGGAAGCACAGTCTGAAAGAGGTTGTAAAGAACATTATGCTGATCAAGGAAAAGGTGAAGGAGAAGCTTCGGCTCCTGGGAACCCCTGGCTCCTGGAACCACATCACTGAACAGAGTGGGACCCATGGCTACCTTGGACTCAACTGTGAGTGTCTGGGAGTGGGTGGCCCCCCTTCTGACCTTGGTCTATGAACATTCAACTTCACTGATGAGGTGACTCATACCTAGTTTTGCTCCAGATTTTGATTATTTCCCCTGGAATGTGGGGCTGCTTTAGAGAGCTTCTGGGAACCCCAGATGTGCTGACACTCCCTTTCCCTCATAAACCTGCCTGAGATAGAGGGGAATTAGAGGTGGCTACCTCAGGACCTGAAACCCTGTGATGATCACAGTCCAACAGGTGGACTACTTGGTCAGGATGAAGCATATCTACATCCCTAAGAATGGGTGGATTAACTTCAGCTGTATCAATGCCAACAATATAGATTACATCACCCAGGCCATCAGTGAGGCTGTCTTCTTCACAAAGGGCCCAGAGAAATATCTTCCAAAACACCAAAAATAGCTGCTTGGAATAAAAACTTTAGTCTGCGCAAAAATCCTGTGCTGATTATTTATTGCTATAATTCATTTATTTACAAAACATTCTCTACATTTATTTATGAAACAATGATCTGGCCTCAGTAAAGACAGAAAACAGAAAGTCCAGGAAGAAGGGCGTGTCTACCGTTATTGACCATTTCATATTTATTTATTTATTTATTTATTTTTTTCTGAGTTGGAGTCTCACTCTGTCGCTCAGACTGGAGTGCAGTGGCCACTCCCGGCCACCGCCGCCTCGACCTGCTGGGCTCCGGTGATCCTTCCGCCTCAG